GAAGGGCATTATATAATGATTAAAGGGACAATCCACTATGAAGACATAACCATAATAAACATCAACACATCCAATGACAGGGCTCCAAAATACATAAAACAAACTCTAACAGCACTGAAATAAAAAGCAACAGTCCCAAAATAATAGTAGGAGACTTCAACACACCACTATCAGTAAAGGACAGAGGATCTAGAAAGAAACTCAACAAAGATAAATAAGATCTAACTGCCACAATCAACCAACTTGACCTCATAGACATATATAAAACACTCTACCAAACAGCAGCAAAGTACTCCTTTTTGTCTGATGCACATGGAACATTTTCCAGAATAGACTGCATCTTAGGCCTCAAAGCAACCATCAACAAAATACAAAATATTAAGATAATACAAAGTATCTTCTCTGATCAAAACACCATAAAGGTAGAAATTAATAACAGGAAAAGCAAGAATCAAATACCTGGAAACTAAATTACACCCTGCTTAAAAATCACTGGGTAATAGAAGAAATCAAAGATGGAATAAAAAAATTCCTGGAATCAAATGAGAATGAAAACACATCCTACCAAAACCTTTGGGACACAGCTAAGGCAGGCAGTGTTCAGAGGTCAATTTATAGCAATAGATGCACACATCAAAAAAGAAGAAAGGGACAAAATAAAAACATTAGCTACACAACTTGAATAAAAAGAGAACAGTAAAAGAAGTCCACAGCCACCATAACAAAGTAAATAATAAAGAAACAGCAGAAATAAAAGAAATAGAGAATAGAAAAACATTAGAAAGAATCAACAAAACCAAAGTTGGTTCTTTGAAAGGATCAACAAAATTGACAAACCATTGGCCAAATTGACAAAAGAAAAACAGAAGAGAACACAAATAACCCAAATAAGAAATGCAATGGGGGACATTACAACAGATCCAGCTGAAATAAAAAGTATCATAACAGAGTATTATGAAAAACTATACTCTAACAAATTTGGACACCTAGAGGAAATAGACAAATTTCTAGAAACACACTACCTACCCAAACTAACACAAACTGAAATTGAAAATCTGAACAGACCCATAACAAGAGAAGAGATTGAAAGTGTAATAAAATAAAAACTCCCAACAACAACAGAAAAAGCCCTTGCCCAGATGGCTTCACTGGAGAATTTTACCAAACATTCAGAGAAGAGCTTGCACCAGTAATTCTCAAACTATTTCAGAACACAGAAAAGGAAGGGATACTTCCGAATTCATTCTATGAAACCAGTGTAACCCTGATACAAAAACCAGGAAAATACACCACAAAAAAAGAAAATTACAGATCAATATCTCTCATGAATATAGATGCAAAAATTCTCAACAAAATTCTAGCCAATAGAATTCAGCATCCTATCAAAAAAATAACACACCACGACCAAGTGGGATTCATACCAGGATGTAAGGATGGTTCAACATTAGAAAATCAATCAATGTAATCCATCATATAAATAAAATAAAAGAGAAGAATCACATGATCATGTCAATCGACACAGAAAAGGCATTCAACAAAGTCCAACACCCATTCCAGATAAAAACTCTCAATAAAATAGTTATAGAGGGGAAATTCCTCAACATAATAAAGGGCATCTATACAAAACCAACAGCCAACATCATTCTTAATGGAGAGAAGCTGAAAACATTCCCCTTGAGAAGAGGAACAAGACAAGGATGCCCATTATCACCACTCCTATTTAACATTGTGCTGGAAGTCCTAGCTAGAGCAATAAGGGAAGAAAAAGAAATAAAGGCCATCCAAATTGGTAAGGAAGAAGTAAAACTGTCCCTATTCACAGATGATATGATAACTATACATAGAAAACCCAAAAGATTCCATGAGAAAACTACTGGAACTAATAGAAAGATTCAGCAGAGGAGCAGGATAGAAGATAAACATACAAAAATCAGTTGGATTCCTATACACCAATAAGGAGAACGATGAAAAGGAAATCAGGAAAACAATACCATTAATAATAGCCCCCCCCACAAAATAAAATACTTAAGAATAAATGTAACCAGGATGTCAAAGACCTATACAAAGAAAACTACAAAACACTACTTCAAGAAACCAAAAGAGATCTACATCAATGGAAAAACATACCATGCTCATGGATAAGTATACTTGACATTGTGAAAATGTCAATTCTACCCAAAGCAATCTACAAATACAATGCAATCCCAATCCAAATACCAATAGCATTCTTTAAAGAGATGGAAAAACTGATCATTCACTTTATATGAAAAGGGAAGACGCCCTGGATAAGTAAAGCATTACTGAAGAAGAAGAATAAAGTAGGAGGACTCACACTACCTGACCTCAGAACCTACTATACAGCTACGATAGTCAAAACAGCCTGGTACTGGTATGACAGACACGTTGACTGATGGAGCAGAATTGAGAACTCAGATGTGAATCCATCCACCTATGGTCACCTGATCTTTGACAAAGGCCCAAAGTCCATCAAATGGGGAAAAGACAGTCTTTTTAACAAATGGTGCTAGCAAAACTGGATGTCTGTCTGCAAAAAAAATGAAACCTGACCCAGACCCCACATCATACACAAAAACTAATTCAAAATGGATCAAAGACCTAAATATAAAACCAAAAATTATAAAGATCATAGAAGAAAAAAATAGGGTCAAAGCTAGAGGCCCTAATACATCCTAAACAGGATACAAACCATAACTAACAATACACAAACACCAGAAGATAAGCTAGGTAACTGGGATCTTCTAAAAATTAAACACACTCATCAAAAGTCTTCATCAAAAGAGTAAAAGAGAAACTACAGACTGGGAAAAAAATTTTGGCTATGACAGATCTGACAAAGGTCCATTCTCTAAAATCTACAGGAAAATCCAACACCTCTGCAACAAAAAGACAAATAATCTAATTAAAAAATGGGCAAAGGATATGAACAGACACTTCACCAAAGAAGACATTCAGGCCGCTAACAGACAAATGAGGAAACGTTAGTGATCACTAGTACTAGAGAAATGAAAAATCAAAAACACAACGAGATACCGTCTCACCCCGACATTACTGGCATGAATCCAAAAAACAGAAACTAACAAATGTTGGAGAGGCAGTAAGGGGATTGGAACTCTTATGCACTGCGGTGGGAATGTTGAATGTTACATCCATTTTGGAAAATGATATGGCACTTCTTTAAAAAGCTAGAAAGAGAAATACCGTATGATCCAGCAATCCCACACCTAGGAATATATCCTAGAGAAATAAGAGCCATCACATGAATAGACATATGCACACCCATGTTCATTGCAGCATTATTCACAATAGCAAAAAGATGGAAACAACCTAAGCGCCCATCAGCAGATGACTGGATAAACAAACTATGCATACATACACACAATGGAATACTATGCAATGATAAAGAACAATGATGAATCCAGGAAACATCTCACAACATGGATGAATCTGGAGGGCATTATGCTGAGTGAAATAAGTCAATCCCAAAGAACAAATATTGTATGAGACCACTATTATAAAAACTCATAAAAAGGTTTACACAGAAAAAGAAACAATCTTTGATGATTACGAGGGAGGGGAGGGATGGGGAGGGAAAAACACTAACCAGACAATAGATAAGTGGTAACTTTGGTGAAGGATAACATAGTACACAATACTGGGGAAGCCAGCACATCTTAACCAAGGCAAGGTCATGGAAGCTCCGTAGGCAACATCTGAACTATCTGAGGGACCAAATTACTGGGCTGAGGGCTGGGAACCATGGTCTCGGGGAAAATATAGCTCAATGGGCCTAACATAGTTTATAAAGAAAATGTTCTACATCCTACTTTGGTGAGTAGCATCTAGGGTCTTAAAAGTTTGTGAGTAGCCATCTAAGATACTCTACTGGTCTCACCCCATCTGGAGCAAGGGAGAATGAAAAAAACCAAAAACACAAGGGAAAGATTAGTCCAAAGACTAATGCACCTCAACTACCACGGCCTCCACCAGACTGAATCCAGCACAACTAGTTGGTGCCCAGCTACCACCACCAACTGCTCTGATAGGGATTATAATAATGGGTCCTGGACAGAGCTGGAGAAAAATGTAGAACAGCATTCTAACTCACACGCACAAAAAAGACCAAACTTACTGGTCTGATAGACACTGGAGAAACCCCAAGAATATGGGCCCTGGATACCCTTTTATCTCAGTAATGAAGTCACTCCTGAGGTTCATCCTTCAGCCAAAGATCAGACAGGCCCATAAAACAAGATGAGACTAAATGGGCACACTTGCCCAGCAGCAAGGATGAGAAGGCAGGAGGGGACAGGAAAGCTGGTAATGGGGAACCTAAGGTTGAGAAGGGGAGAGTGTTGACATATCATGTCAATGTCACAAAACAATATGAGTATCAATTTTTTAATGAGAAACTAATTTGCTCTGTAAATCTTCATCTAAAGTAGAATAAAAAAGTATTTGCTGAGTGCCAGCAAAAGCAATATTTACTGAATGATTAAAAAACAAAAAGACACAGTCCTTGCCCCCTTGGTAAATTATTATTTTTTGTATTGTTTATATCAGAGAGCCATGTAAGAGTAAAAGTATAGCTATGATAAATGCTTTGAAGGAGAGTACATAATAGTATAAGTATGACCATTAGGTGGAACTGATCAAGCCAGGGAGGTCAGGGAGGTCACGGTCTTTCTCAGGAAGCGATGACTGAGCTGAGGTTAAGGGCAGCTATTAACTAGATGAAAGAAGACCGGCGGTCGGATACGAAGCAACAAAGTTCAGTTCAGTTCAATAAATGTTTATTGAATCCCTACCATATGCCAGACACTATGCTTAGATGTTGGGAAATAAGAAATGAGTAAGACATGGTCTTTGCCCTCTGCAAGTAACTCAATATAAGGATTTAATTGTCATGTTGTTTATAAATTAAGAGAGCCACTCTGTATTTATTTTGTTTCGATGTAGTTTGGGTTTTCTTTTTCAGGATTACCTCAGCTAGGCAAGTCTTCCTCAAGAAGTCAAACACAGTCTTTTTGTCATGGAGTCAAAGCTTAACAAACAAAGATACATGGTCTTCTAGATTAACATCCAGCAACTCTATTTCAAGCTTTAGCACCAACCAGCAGTGGTCACACAGTGAACCTCATGCCTGTTTCAGAGCCTGCCAACAGCACAGCTCCTGGAAGGAAGCCTAGCTGTTACCGAACAACAGGTGCATTATTACTTGATCTCTCTTTTTTTTTAAATGCTAAAATTACAAATTGTTAACCCAGCCATAAAAATGAATTGTAAACATACTGTATGTGCATTTGATTAATTTGCTTTTATGTAAAGTATGATTCAGACCTGGAGTACAAATTCCTGGGGACGCACAAATAACACAAGGAAGCATCAAGGGTGTAAACAAAGAGCCAGGTGCTGTGGAAAAATGAAGATTGCCAAACACACACACACACACACACACACACACACACACAAACAGGAAAAACAAAATAACCTGCCCCAGTGCTGGGTTTTGGCTGTAGCCTATTGGGCAGGTCCTCATTTAAGCCATCTACCAAAAGTACACTCTAGGCCTGTTTTCCCTATTCCCTACGAAGGTGCAGGCCCTTTCACTATTTTTATGCCTCTGATTCTAGTGTCGCTCCCTATTCTAGAATTTACTGACTCCTGTCCTGCTTGGCTTCTTGCTCTGATCTTGGTGGGGAGTTTGCCCCAGGGCTAGTTTTGTGCATGCACCCTCTGTTCTTCTGCTTTAACTTGTCTGAATAACTGAATAATAACTGAATAAGCAAGCCCAGAGGCCCAGGATCCCAACCTGGTCATCAGGCTGTTTGGCTTGCTCCTTTTGTTAGGACTGCCAGACTTCTACAAATAGAGGGATGAGAATGCTAATGACATCTAGACCTGTATCTCAGTTCTGCTGTCTTATTTCACTGTTTTCTTCCTTTTCACTCTTCTTTGCAAAGGTTCACATCTTTTCTTTATAACTTAATATCAATGTATAATACTATTAAGACTCTCTCATCTTGGCTACAAATCCTAAACCCTTGTTTTCTTTTACTCCTGTGTTTTGTTTATTTATTATTTATTTTGGAGGGTCTGTGTACTTTACCTTTGGTACTATTTATTAGATGGCAAATAATAGTTCCAGGTTATAAAAGAGGACACTTACAATATCCTATTAGGACACTTATATATCACAGTCATTAAGTGACTTTTCCAACATCACACCCTGACATTTATCATGGAGAAATCAAGTAGAAAAGAGCAACAGCTCCCAAATTTGATTTCTTAGTTGAGTATGCACAATCAGTGTTGTACAGATCCTATAAGTGTATTAACTAAATGGTTGAATATCAATGCTTTAAGCTTATCAGTTAAAAAATTTAAAGATTTCATTTTAAGCAATTAAGACCAATAGCATTAAGTACCATTTTGAAAAATGCAAAATATACTCCTGTATTCACAATCCATAAAAACTTTTTTGAGATTTTGCTTTTGAAATATTCAGTGTCTGTTCTGTCTTTATTGTACATGCTTCCTGTGAAGATTTATTATCAACCCTGTTGATGGGAGCTGTGATTTTTCTCTAAAATTTCTAAATGAATGTGGTAAATAACATTATCAGACTGTCTAGCAAGTTGTTTGGGCTAGCTCATTTCCAGATTATTTTGTTAAAAGGAATTTACATGAGTACAATTTTATCCACCGAATAAGTGTTTCTGCTTTTTTTTTTTCTGGAAAATGTATTCACAATATACTCCAGTAATGATCTAGCCCAAGAAGTCCCAGTGTTATTTTGGAGCAAGTTGCTAATGACTTACAGCACACTGGGCATCCAAGCTATGGTTAACTGGTGGTCAAGTTAGGAAATTCTGTTCCCATTAACTCTCCCTTTCTTAGCCCAGAACCCCTCACCACTCAACTTTTTTATTCTTTTGATTTGTCACAGTCATAGTCTCTGCTTGGTGTTTTCAGACCAAAAGTAGAAGCAATGACATGCCATAAAAAGTATTGTTCCTGTTGCATTTCCAGCTTAGCTAAAAACAGGAAACACAGGTCATTTCGTGGAGAAGTCTGTTGTGATATTTCCAAGCCAAGAGGTTTGGATCAACTTTGGTTGAATGTCTGAACTTTTGGCTTTTTACTTACAGTAAACCTTCTAACTTCAGAATTTTAGCACAATTCCTACCTATAGGATGATGCCAGCCATACTTAGATTATGTTGTTACATGGATTACTTTACTTTAAAATAATTTTTATTTAATATTGAATTTTACATTCAGTCCAAAATGTACAAAAGAAAATTGTGTGAATGGTAAGATATAAAACATAATAATGGAAAGAGCCATAATTTTCACAGTTTCAGGACCTTGCTTAGTGTATTAGATAATTTATTTAGAATGTGTCTAGTATTATAAGGCTTCACTCATTAAGTGAATGTTTGATGAATAAATTTACTATACAAAATAAACCCTAAACCAAAAATTCTGTGCTAGGTAAAATAGTCTTACAACTCCTGGTAGGGAATGACAAGTCCTACTAGAAAATAAATCTAAATTATTTTGTGCTCTTATGATCCACCACCTGGTTTTCCAATAATTTTAGGAGTCAGAGGGAGTTTGAAGTTGGAATTTCATGTATTTATCCTTATTTAGATCCATTGAGGTAAAAATCTAATTGGGTAGATTAGCAAGGGAAGCCAGATAAAGATACATTTATGTGGTTCCAAGCAAATACATAGTGTGTACTTGGACAGTTCGTTTTGTTGTTTTCCAGCATCAGTGCAACCCTAATCTTTCTTATCTTTTCCATATTGTGTGACTATAGATTGGCCACAATGAATGGAGTGCATGTAATCTTCTCTTCTGATTTAGCCATCTGGTGTGACCTTACAAACTGTTTTTCATTGTTTTCAAGCCATGATAAATGGCAAAATGAATTATAATTCCAGATTGAGTTGTTAAATTAATGTATTACACTTGCCTTTATAAGATATGATTTGTTGCATTTATTTTTTTACCTTTTAATTTTTATATTAAAGGCCAGTTGTCTCAAGAAAGGAAGATTAAAAAAAAAGTCAAGGAGTATAAAGTATAGAGATAAGAGAAAGCATGTTCAGAGAGAACCCAGAGCCCTCCAACTTCAACCCTTATTGAGAAAGGAATTTAACTCAGTATTTACTGAAGTTCTGAAATGATTGAATAATTCTTTTTATTCCATGTCTTCTTGCTTCCATTTAGCTGGAATGTACTGGACAGGATTAGAAATGGCTGTTCTTTCAGCTTTTTATGGTTTAGACTAAAAGCAAAGTGGCCAAAGTTATTAAAACTAATCTCTCTTTATGAGATTTCCAAGCCTTTGTGCAGACTCAGAAAGTGGAGCCATCTAGATTTTTAGAGTTTATCAAACTGTATATAACAAGCTAAATTTAAAAATTTTTACTCATGGTTAGTTGACAATACACTTTTCCATTTCAAGTCAACTTCCCTCCAGTCCCCCTTCTGTAAGCCTTCTTCCAAAGCAAGAATAACAAACTAAAAGACAGCTAATACCTGTTAAAATGCTGCATAAGCCAAACATTTTTCTATTGTGCCTGTATCACATAAAATCCATTTTCCTTCCTTAATTCTTGGAATAATATCACTCGCAATTTAAGATCTTACATTTCAGGTTTTTAAGCTCTAGCTGAATGATACTGGATGAGTTAGAAAGTCTTGGAAGTGGATTTATAAAGAAAATGTTGACAGAACTTGGATTCTCATACTGCTGGTGGGTACCACGATTATAATAATGGTTTCCTTTAAAACTCTTCCATTAAATGTTCCAAACAGTGGAATTCATAGTTTTTCCTTTGGTCCAGAGATCAAAAACATGAGCAGTTTTACATTTCTAAGGTTGGACAGAATGTGTGTTTCCACAATTTCTGTGGGAAAGCAATCCACCCTTTCTCCATTTTATTGAAAACCACCATCTTGGCTGCAGTATGTGCCATTACAAGCATTTTCATTATGTCTCATATCTTGTTTTAGGAAGTAGGAGTCTGTCTGTTGCATTTGTTTTTCTTATTGGCTTTCAAAGACTACATACAGTAAATGAAAAGTGGTTTAAAAAACTGAAGATAGGGTAGCATAGTGGTTTAAAGGATAAACCTGGGAGAGAGGTTGTTTGAATTCAAATCCTAGCTCTGCCGTTTGTAACTGTTTGACTTTGATAAGTGTCATAACTCCCTAAGCCTCAGTTTCCACATCTGTAAAGTGTGGATACTAAGTATCTGTTTTTTAGGGCTTTTGCAAGGATTGGATAAGGTAACAAATATAAGGTGACTGGCAACAGTAAGTTCCCAGCAATTGGTACCATCATCAGATGTCTTATTTATTTTTAACACACAACTTGGAAATATTTTCTGGTAGAAATTACTATCTAATTAAAATAATTTATTTTGTAGCAAGCATGTTTTAATGTTTCTATTTAAAATAATATTTATTAAAGCTGATTCATTTATTTGACAATTCTTTATTGAGTGCCTACTATGTATCAGTTGACTAAAACAGCCCCCTCTTCCGGAGCTCAGAGCCTTGCTGCTGTATTTGTGTTTTTGGAATCATCTGATATTAGAAAAAAGCATTTTAAGGTTTATGTTGAATGTGCACAGCTCTTTTATTTTTCTCTCTGTATTTTAGAGTCTAAATTTAGAATACAAGATACTATCTTTCTGGTATTAATGTGGATGATAAAACTGAAGTTATAGGGAAAAGTTCAATATAATTTAAATAACTCAGAACCTCCAAACATTTAATATTCAAAATTATTGTCCCATGCTAATAACTGTCACATTTCTTTAGAAAGTAATTTTGGTTCATAAATAATCCCTGCCCCTTCCACCATGTTTAACAAAGTAAAGCATAAAGGGAATTTTTGTGCACATTTAAGAATCTACATTTTGAGAGAATCTTACAACTTTATTTTTAAAAATAAAACAGTATTTTTACATGTAAAAGAACAATGCCTTTTTGGATTTGGTCTTATTTCGATATTATTATTATGATTATTTTTATTGTATTTTAGATGAAGGATTACAGAACAAGTAGCTTCTCATTAAACAGTACACATATTGTTTTATGACATTGGTTAACAACCCCACGACATGTCAACACTCTCCCTTCTCAACCTTGAGTTCTCTATTACCAGCTTTCCTGTCCCCTCCTGCCTTCTAGTCCTTGTCCCTGGGCTGTTACAATAAGAAAAATTGAGGCCTTACAAAAGAGTGATCTTGTTAGCTGAGTCCTATCTTAACTCCCCCCCACCCTTTTTAAAAATTTATTCAGAGCTTACTGTAACTATTGATTTGCTGTAATTTACAAAGAAAATAAACAGAATAAGGCAATGGTAAAACATAGCCCCTAACATAGGTACCTTACATTTTACTTGGGAGGTAAGGCCTGAAGTGTAAAACAATGCTAAATGTAAAAAAAATTGTCACAAGGTGATACATGATTAATTCCAAATGAGAGCTATAGACCATTGGTTGTCAACTGAAGTTGATCAGTTATGTGATGTGTAGTATATACTTTATTATTAATACCAAGATACTCTTTCCTGGGTATTATGAATGAAGTTGCTATGGTAAAGTTCTTTTGCTGGCATATGCTTGCATATCTTGGGTGTATATACCTAGGAGTAGAATTATTGGGTTATAAGTGCCTTAAATGGTTTGCGCTTGACTGTTAACCTAAAAATTTGAGGTTCCAACCCACCCAGTGGTACTAGGGAAGATGGGCCTGGCGATCTGCTTCCATTAAGATTACAGCAAAGAAATCCCTATGGAGCAGTTTTACTCTGCAAAACATGGGATTGCCATGAGTTGGAATTGACTCAATGGCAACTAACAACAACAGGGAATGGTTATGTTTTGCTTTAGTGGATATTGCCATTCTGCTTTCCAAATTGACTATACCAGTTTACACTCTCATGAGCAATGCGTGAGAGTTCTATTTGCTCCCACATCCTTGGTATTCTTAATTTTAGTCAATGTGATGGGTGTGTCATGAAGCCTTACAGTAATTTTATTTTGGATTTTTTGATGACTCATAGAGTTTAGTACCTTTTCATCTGTTTACTGGCAATTCTTATATTCTCTTTGGTAAAGTTTCTGTTCAAGTCTTTTGCCTATTTTAGAAAACAAAAATCTTTTGTTTGACTTTTTCATATTTATTTGCGGAGTTCTTTTTGTATTCTGGATATAATTCCTTTATCAGATACTATTGTTATTGTTAGGTACTGTTGAATTGGTTCTGACTCATAATAATGTTATGTACAAGAGAACAAAACACTGCCCAGTCCTGTGCCACCCTCACCATCATTGCTATGTTTGCGCTCATTGTTGCAGCCACTGTGTCAATCCATCTCGTTGAGGGTCTTCCTCTTTTTCCATGACCCTCTACTTTACCAAGCATGATGTCCTTCTCTAGGGAATGGTCCCCCCTGATAACATGTCCAAAGTACGTGAGATGAAGTCTTGCCACCCTTGCTTCTAAGGACCATTCTGGCTATACTTCTTCCAAGACAGATTTATTCCTTCTTTTGACATTCCACGGTATATTCGATATTCTTCGACAACACCATAATTCAAAGGCATCAATTCTTCGGTCATCCTTATTCATTATCCAGATTTTGTGTACATATGTGGCAATTGAAAACACCACGGCTTGGGTTAAGCACACCTTAGTCTTCAAGGTGAGGGCTTTGCGTTTTAACACTTTAAAGAGGTCTTTTGTGGAAGATTTCCCAAATGCAATATGTCATTTGATTTCTTGACTGCTGCCTCTGTGGGTGTTGATTGTGGATCAAAGTAAAATGAAGTCCTTGACAACTTCAATCTTTTCTCTGTTTAAAATGATGTTGCTTAGTGGTCCAGTTGTGAGGATTTTTGTTTTCTTTATGTTAAGGTGTAATCCATACTGAAGGCTGTAGTCTTTGATTTTCATCAGTAAGTACTTCAAGTCCTCTTCATTTTCAGCAAGTAAGGGTGTATCATCTGCATATCGCAGGTTGTTAATGAGTCTTCCTTCAATCTTGATGTCACGTATTCTTCATATGGTCTAGCTTGTTGGATTATTTGCTCAGCATACAGACTGAATAAGTATGGTGAAAGGATACAACCCTACACATAACTTTTCTGATTTTAAATCACACAGTATCTCCTTGTTCTGTTCTAATGACTGCCTCTTGATCTATTTACAGGTTCCTCATGAGCACAGTTAGGTGTTCTGGAATTCCTATTCTCTGCAATGTTATCTGTAATTTGTTATGATCCACACAGTCAAATGCTTTTGCATAGTGAATAAAACACAGGTAAACACCTTTCTGGTTTTCTCTGCTTTCAGCCAAGATCCATCTGACATAAGCTCTGCTATCCCTCATTCCATGTCCTCTTCCGAATCTGGCTTGAATTTCTGGCAGTTCCCTGTTGATGTACTGCTGCAGTCACTTTTGAATGCTGTTCAGCAAAATTTTACTTGTGTGTGATATTAATGATATTGTTCAATAATTTGTGCATTCTGTTGGATCACCTTTCTTAGGAATAGGCACAAATATAGATCTTCCAGTTGGTTGGACAAGTAGCTGTCTTCCAGATTTATTGGCATAGCTGAGTGAGCGCTGCATGCATTTGTTGAAACGTCTCAGTTGGTATTCCTGGAGTCTTGATTTTCACCAATGCCTTGAGTGCAGCTTGGACTTCTTCCTTCAGTATCATCGGTTCTCGATCATATGCTACCTCTTGAAATGGCTGACTGTTAACCAATTCTTTTTGGTACAGTGACTCTGTGTATTCCTTCCATCTTCTTTTGATGCTTTCTATGTCATTCAATCTTTTGCCCATAGAATCCTTCAGTATTGCAACTTGTGGCTTCAACTTTTCCTTCAGTTCTTTCAGCTTGAGAAATGCTGAGCATGTTCTTTCCTTTTTATTATCTAGCTCCAGGTCTTTGCACATTTCATTATAATACTTTACTTTGTCTTCTTGAGCCGTCTTTTGAAATCTCCCTTTCAGCTCTTTTACTTCATCATTTCCTGCATTCACTTTAGCTACTCTACGTTAAAGAAAAAGTTTCAGAGTCTCTTCTTACTTCAGTTTTTATCTTCTCTTTCTTTCCTGTCTTTTTAGTAACCTTTTGCTTTCTTCATGTATGATGTCCTTGATGTCATCCCATAACACGTCTGGTCTTCAGCCATTAGTGTTCAGTGCCTCGAATCTATTCTTGAGATGCTCTCTAAATTCAGGTGGAATATACTCAAGGTCATATTTTAGCTCTTGTGGATTTGTTTTAATCTTCTTCAGCTTCAACTTTAACTTGCATGTGAGCAATTGATTCCATACTTGGCTCCTGGCCTTGTTCTGACTTATGATATTGAGCTTTTCCATCATCTCTTTCCACAGATGTAGTCAGTTTGATTCCTGTGTATTCCATCCAGCAAGGTCCTCATATATAATCACCATTTATGTCGTTGAAAAAAGATTTGCAAAGAAGAAGTCATTGGTCTTGCAAAAGTCTATCATGTGATCTCCAGCACTGTTTCTGTCACCAAAGCCGTGTTTTCCAACTACTGACTCTTGTTTGTTTCCAACTTTTGCAATCTGATCACCAGTAATCATCAATGCATCTTGATTGCATGTTTGATCAATTTCAGACCACAGAAGTTGGTTAAAATCTTCAATGTCTTCATCTTTGGCATTGGTGGTTGGTGTGTAAATTTGAATAATGGTCATA